ATGGGCCCAGATACCCACTCTTCGATACCAATGACCTTGGGTGTGTCCCCCAATCTTGGCTGCTTCATCTGGGAAGAAGCGTAAGGTTTTTTTGGCACAACCTTCTAGCCAGTCAAGAAGGACCAATGGCATCAGTATGACACTTCATGTTTTAGCCATATCAGCACCTCTCAGAAAGCTCTTCCTGGTACATGGTATATACCTCTCTGCCCTTTCCAATGCTGCCCCAATTCAGGAATAGAAGCAAACCATCCCCCAGGATGGTAACTCTTGAAATGTTGTATGTGCAAACATGTCACACCCCCCACTACCTTAAGTTTCCCTTGACCTTTCCTTAAGTGGTTCCATTTTGTGACAACTCTCTTGTAACAGCGCAACTCTGATTGACCGGCAGTGACTATAGAAACGTGGAGAGCTCCAGGTGAGTTTTAACCCAAGAAGCAGATTACAATCCCCTGTGAGCTTTTGAAAACAAGATTCCTCATCTCCAGTGAATCAAAATCTTTGGGGATGGCTCTCAGTAACTGAAACATTTTACCAATTATTCAGATTTAAGAACGGCTCATAAAATTAGTGGGGCAGGACTATTTTTCTTGATCTTAAAAGATAGTTCTGCTTATTGAACACAAGCAGAAGATATGTGAACTTTTTTCCACTAAGTTTTCTACCATATCATACAGAAAATCACTGACAATGGGTGAGGAAATGTTTAAAAAGGAACTCACTGTTACGGTGAATTATAATAAATGGGTAAAATGTACAAGAGCATAGGATTGTCTTCTAGGAATCAGAACTCTTACAGTGGCTGCCAAGTGAGGATTCCTACAAAGAATTTGGAGCTTTTTGTTAGGAAAAATTAGTTTGAAGCAGGCTTATAAATTGAAATTCTATTATCAAACAGAAACAATCATAAGTTAATATTTTCAAATTCTCATTATACTTAGTATTGCCAGTCCCTTTGACTATTTTTAACTTCCAGATTCCCTTTATAGGCTTAGCAATCTGTACCTCTCTTAAGTATCAATGACACTGTCCTAACCCACATTTCCTACCTATTATGTTGGTTGTATATATGCTAATTTATACAGCTGATTTTTCCTTTGACTCCCTTTCAGATGATAAATTCCTCAAGAGCAAAAACTGTGCCTCAAATTTATTAATAATGAGCTAGAGTAAGCATATAAGTATTAGTTATCAAGTACAAATCTTCTGACAGTTTCATATTCTTCCAAAAAGCTACAGGGGAAATACTTCCTAACTCATTCTATGAGGCCAGCATTACTCTGATAACAAAGATAAAGACACTAAAAGGAAACCACAGCCCAAGATCCCTGATCAATAGTGATGGAAAAATTATCAACAAAATACTAGCAAACCAAATTCACCAACCTACTAAAAAATTATACATGGCAATAAAGTGGGATTTATTCTAGGAATGGAAGGATGGTTCAGCAGGTCACAACCACTATAACATACCACAATGATATAACGATGGGGGGGATGATCATCTCAACTGATACAGAAAGGACATTTGACAAGATTCAAAACCTTTTCTCAATAAAAACACACAAACTGGGATAGAAGAAAATATCTTTAACATCATAAAAGCCATATGTGAAAAACACATAGCTAACATCACACTCAGTGGTGAAAGACTGAAAGCTTCTCCTCTAAGAACAAGAACAAAACAAGAAAATCACATTCACTATTTCTATTCAGTGTAATATAGGAAATTCTAGCAAGAGCAATTAGGCAAGAAAATAAAATAAAAGGCATCCAAATCAGAAAAAAAAGAAATATCTGTCTGCACATAACAAAAGCTTATTTTGGAAAACCCTAAAGATTTTACACACACATACACACACACACACACACACACACAGGAAAAGGCAAAAAAAAAAAAAAAAAAAACTGTTACAGCTAATAAATTCTACAAAGTTGCAAGATACAAAATCAATACATGGGGCTGGGGATGTGGCTCAAGCGGTAGCGCGCTCGCCTGGCATGCGTGCAGCCCGGGTTCGATCCTCAGCACCACATACAAAGATGTTGTGTCAGCCGAAAACTAAAAAATAAACATTAAAAAAAATTCTCTCTCTCTCTCTTTAAAAAAAAACAAAAACAAAATCAATACATGAAAATCAGTTATAGTTGTATAGACTAACAATGAACAATCAAAAAAATTAAGAAAACAATCCAATTTACACTAGCATCAAAAAATAACAAAAAAATGTGGATGAAATAAAACACTTAAGAATAAATTTAACCAAGGAAGCAAAAGTCTTGTACACTAAACCCTACAAAACATTGCTGAAAGAAGTATAAAGAAAATATAAATAAATGAAGACATCCAGTGTTCAACGGGCTGGAAGATTTAATGTGTTCAGATGACTACCCAAAGCAATCTAGAGATTCAATGCAATCCCTATCAAAGACCTGGAAATGAGCTAAGACTATTAAACTCTTAGGGAAAATAGGGCACAATCTTCATGACACTGAATTGGGTACTTACTTATTAGCTCTGACCTCAAAATCCTAGAAAGATCAAATTGGACTGCATCAAAATTTAAAATTTTTGTTCATCAAAGGATGCTATTTATGAAGAGACTAAAAAGACAACTCTCAAAAGTGGAGAAAATGCTTTTAAACTTTGTAGCTGAAAAGTACAAAATACTCATACAGCCATTTCTACAATACTGCATAAATAATCAATAGGCACATGAAAAGATACTCAATATTACTAGACAGATCACAGTGAGCTCATATCGCTCACACCTGATAGGATGGCAATTCATCAAACAAACAGAAATAACAAGTGTTAGGATGTGGAGAAACTGGAATGCGGATGCACTGCTGTAGAAATGTAAAATGGTACAACAGTATGGTTGTTCCTCAAAAAGTTGAAGGTACAATTCCACATAGGCTGCAATTCCTAGGTATATGCCTAGAACTGATATCAGAGGTTCAAACAGCTACTTGCAATATCAATGGTTACAGCACTTATTAGTCACAGTGGCAGACGGTAGAAACAACCAGTGAAAACAACTCAAATATTGTCAAGGGATAAATGAATAGACAAAATATATGGTATACAGAGACAATGGGATATTATTCAAGCTTAAATAGGAAATTCTGGAACAGGCTATAACATAAACCTTGAAAATATTATGCTAATAAGCCATCCACAAGACAAATATTGCGTAATTCCACCTATATGAGGTAGCCAAAACAATCAAATTCACAAATACACATGGTAAAATGCAGGTTACCAGACGCTTGGAGGATTGGGAAGAGTGAAGAATTAGTGCTTAATGGGTATAGTTCCTATTTGGGAGGATGAAGAGTTCTGGGAATGCAGTGGTAAAAGATGTGCAATATGGTGTCTGTACTCTCATTTAATTGTACAATTAAAAATGGTTAAAATGGTGCCAGGTGCAGTGGTGCACACCTGTAATCCCAAAGGCTCAGGGGGCTGAAGTAGGAGGATCACGAGTTCAAAACAAGCCTCAGAAAAAGGGAAGTGCTAAGCAACTCAGTGAGACCCTGTTTCAAAATGCAGAAAAGAGTTGGGGATGTGGCTCAGTGGTAAAACACCCCTGGGTCAATCCCTGGTATAAAAAAAGGAAAAAAAAAAATTGTTAAAATTGCAATTATGTTGGCGTAATTAAGAAAAAAAAATCCTTCAACAATGCTAGCTAGGGCTAAAAACTTGGGCACTGAAGTTAATTTAGTACCCAGTTTCCCAGTTGAGTGACTTTGGAAAAAATGAGTACTTCTGAAGAGCCATAGATTCTTCTTTTGTAAAATGAGGATATCACCTCCTCAGAGATACTGCTGTTGAGATTAACATCCAAAGAAGTCCAATGCCAAGTATGGCCACTCATATAAGTAACTAAAAAATAATGGGTTACTTCAGCAGCTCTGGAAACACTCCTCCACAGGGCGGGGGTGGGGTGAGGGACAGTATATGAACAAGAAGAGGTGGAAGAACCTTAAAATGTTAACATGAACAGTAACAAAGGAACCTGAAAAAGGCATGGGGGATGGGCAGTCTTGGCTTTTCACCAGTCCATAAAGAACTCTTGGATACACTGGACTTCATTTACTACAAGTTCAATGTGAAATATGACAAAAAGAGAATGTCATCTTGGGTCCTGACGGAGAGTCTAGTTCTCGTGTTGCTGTGTTTATTCTGAGAACATTCTTGGAGATCTGATTAAACAGGAGGGCTTTCAGAACAGGGCTCCCAAGAATGAGGTGAACACCCTACCATACGAAAGTCAGCTGAGAACACAGGGTGCTCCGAGAAAATGAAGGATGAACTACAAAATGGCAACATAAGTAAAAAAATCCAAGTTATTAAAAAGTGAAAAGGGCAGGTTGAACAGATATTATAGAACAATCACTACACTGTTAGGAGGAGGAGGAGTACAAGTGATGACCTATAAGGTATTTATTGTCTAAGAAATACGATTCTAAATATAAAAATTTAAATTTGGGATTTTTCAAGACACGCCAAAACAAATGTAAGGATTACAGTTTCAATCTGGAGTGTCCCCCGAAAGTCCAAGTGTTGAAGGCACAGTCACCAGCCTGTGCGGCTACTGGAAGGTGGTGAATTTAAGGAGGTGGAGGCTGGTGGGAAGAAGCTGTGTTGTTGGGGGCATGCTGGTGATGGAGATATTGGAACCCTGGCCCCTTACCCTCCATTTTTTTGCTTCCTGGCTGCCACCAGGTAAGCAGCTCTTCTAGCACATACTATGCCATCATGGTCTGGTATTTTGTCATACAACAGAAAGACGACCAGCTTAATTAAACACAGGCACATACAGAACATTGTTTTACATACACACGATGCTGTTCCTAGGAAAAATCTCTTCGGATAACAAAAAAGTAATAATTTTTGTAAAAGGAGTATCACAACTTCCAAAGTGTGTATTTCTAATTTGCAAAAATATATTTCAGGCAAAAAGGAAAAAACACACTTAAAAACCCACAAGCACAAATAAACCAACTTTAATAGATATTATTTTGTATTTATATAGCGCCTTCTTCAAGAACCTTAAATGCTTTACAGACATTATCTCTAATTAATCCCCACAACAACCCTGTGAGGTAGGTATTACTCCCATTTTACAAGACAGGGAGACTGAAGCACAAAGAGGTTAAGTGACTTGCCCAAGGTCACACAGTTATGTTCACTGAAGAGCCAGGATCCAAGCGCCTTAGCCTCCCAGCTCCTAGCCAAACACCTCATGAGACAATCTTTAATGAAAGTCATCTTTAAAGAAAGTATCAAGGGTAGTATGTTATGAAAATGAGGTCTTTCTACTGCCATCAAAGAAATAAAAAAACCCTACACTGATGGTTAGAGGCCACAAGACCCATATATAGTACATTTCCTTCCCTTTTCCTAAAGCCTTCTGGTTCCTGACTTAAAAGTACTTCTAAAAGTAAAATTTCTAAGACAGAAACCATATGACTTGGAAGTGGGACTTAATTTAGAATATTTACTTTTAGTTATAATTTATAGAAATTTTTATTCCAATATACAAAATATGGGACACAGCTATCCCAACAAACATGTACATAGTTATATAGCAATTAGCCCCATTTACAGCTTGAACCTGCCCCTCATTTTAATCACAGCCAACCAACAAACTCAAATTGCTTTCTAGGTGGGTCACTTTTCTTACTTACTATATATATCTTTATTCTTTCTCCCCCCAATCTTAACCCTAAACGTTTTTTGAAGTATACTGAGTTTCTGATAAGCTTCAAAACATTTTACTTAGATCCAGCTGCACCGAGAATAAAAAGTAAATTTAGAACCATCACCCCACACTCCCTCCCCTGACAAATCATACTATGAAAAACGGTGTAAATGTGAAAAAAAGTATGTGACTACCATGGAACCCAACACAAATACTAGACCTTGCTACTATAAAATTTAGCTTGGTTTTTCCTTTTTTTTTTTTTAAATAATCCAAAGACACAAAAGCAAACACGACACAATATTTCGATGCTGTACCTTTATGCAAATGACTTCATCTATCTTTCTCACACATGTTGTGTCCTAGCTGGTGGTAAAACTAACTCTGCTTCACTTTACCCTTTTTCTCTGTACAGAAAAACTGCAAAAGTACAGTTTTAAGTCCCAAGAGAATTTGGTTTAAGCCCTCAAAATATAAGCACTTCCACTGCTCAGACTTTCCTCACATTCTTGGTTGTGATTCTCTGTGCAGTGTCAGTAGACCAGGCAGGCTATATATATAATTTGTATAAAACTACTCCAGCCAGGGTAAGGCATTAGAAACTGCATCTTAAAAACGAATTTGTCAAAATATTGATATTTAGTATGAATACTAAATATTAAATATCATAGTTTTCTTCCAGCACATCTGTCTAAGCAACCCAATTAGCTAAGTGACCCTGTTAAAGATCTGTTTATGGGATGAATAGGTGAAGTCATTTCCTGAGCTAAAAGATACAGATAATAACTGTTAAAATAGCAGCACAAAAACCACTCTCTTTTGTTGTTTGTTTTTCCATAGTCAACAATTTTAGTAAAATAACTTTAAAAAATTTAGAGAATTTAAAAAAAATTTATGGCTGAAAAGAATTAAATTTAAAAAAATCAAATGCCTGATTACTATTATTTTGAATATAATTTTCAATTGTTTCCTGCAGTTACATTTAGCCACTGTAAGACAACTTACCGATGCATGGAAAAATGCCAACTGCAATGGTTTACATACATTTTACATTACATTTATTACTATTTAAAACCCTCAATAGAATGATCGTAAACAAATTTTCATTTCTGAAGACTCAGATTTGTAAGGTTGTGGGGAGGGGACTTGTTTTTTGGATCACGGGTCTATTTCTTCAAAATGTAATCTTGAAAAGGATTTTAGCTACTATCCAGGCTTCTAGGGTTACAATGAATATATCACTTCTTTCCAAGTTAAAATATAAGACATTTGAAAATAATGTAACTGCAATGACATGAATTTTTCCCAAGTGTGGCTCAACTTGGAACATTAAAATATTCAAGAACTCTAAAGACTGGTATATCACCACTGCACCAGAATTGCTTTTATCATTCCAAGAACTACAGGGAATTTTTAAGTTGTTGTGTTTTTTTGTTTGTTTTTTAGTGAAATTAAAGCAGAATAAAATAACTGACTTATAAACTATGACCAAAGAATAAATATTTAGCCAGAGATATCAGTTCCTCCTGAAAAAGAATATTTACCTTTTCTAACTGCAATTTTTCCAAGATATCTTAGTGATTTCAGATAAAATTTTAAATTCACTTTAAAAATAGAAACAAACTAAAGGGCTACTTAAGCTGACACAACTAATAAAAATATGCTAAAATTTACTGACAGAATCATGGGCACTTCATACGATACTTAAAGACTCTACCAGTTTTAAGTAAAATAAATAAGGAAAAAATTATAATTACAAAGCCAGTCTTTCCCCTTGGGGAAACAAAAAGCCACTTTTGACCAATTGTTCCCTACATATACATATACTGTATATTATTATAAGCTTCTTCAGAGAAGCAAAACATATTTGTCTTCCTGACACTGGATTCTAGTATCTGTTAGTTTTTTTTTTTTTTATATCAGGAAGGCAACTGCAAGTGTTGGGCCCAAAAGTACTTCTGGTTTATGCTTGAAAAGACCATGGAATATGCTTCTAAACATACCAAACACAGGCATGTGTGCAGTGTGTTCAGTATCCTCTCCTTTAGTCATCAATACAATCTAGCACAGATTCCAATTCTTTCTACCGCACCCCCAAGGAATTCAAATCATTATTGGTGCATTAATAAAGAGAAAATGCATATCAACAACTGGAAGGCTGTTTTACAAGAGGAGCTGGTATCTCTGATTTCGTTTCCTTGTTGTATGGAACTGCACAGACAGCATGATACCTGAGCAAATAAATCAACTACCATGATAGGAAGGGCTTGTTAATCCAGAGTCTTTGCTTTATTGTGTGCAAAGTGTGCTACTGCCCCCTGAGCTTCCTGCAATTCTCTTTTCTTGAAAAATCAGTGCTTGATCCTTTCCAAAATAACCAGAGAAGAAATGAGGCAGAAAGTTATCTCTTCATCACGGTTCCCCCTCAGTCCCGAGACTGATAGAAAAGGATGTAACCAGACTCAGAGTTCTTTGAGATATCTGATGTCAACCCGTAGAATTCTTCAATAGCTTGTGCATCTATTTTCTGTAAGGTAAAAATGAAAACATCAGGACATAAAAAAGCTCCGGACAACCAGAATGGCTCAAATTAACAAGAATAATAATAATAATAATAATAATAATGTAAGAGAATGGAATTCTCTTACATGGCTAGTGGGAAAGTAAAATTAGTACAGCCACTTTGGAAAAATGTTTAGCAACATTTATGAAGCTGAACATGCAACTACCCTTTTATTCTGCAATTATACCTCTAGGTTTAGGTTGAATCATATAAAACACACTATTGTCAATCATTTTGGACTTAAAAAATGGTATTTTCCAATGATCTGACCAAATATAAATCCAAGAAAAGTTGAGTATATATTGTCCAAAAAAGGATTTGTGCAAGAATGATTAAAGCACTTTTGCTCAATAATAGTTAATAATGAAAAAAGGCCAAATTTCTCAATTGGTGTATTCATATAATAGAAAAGATCAAAGCAATGGAAAAGAACTACTACTACCACTATAGGCAACAATGGAACCGAATTGCACAATATATTAATATTATATTAATAAGTGAAAAGGGTCAATTACAAAAGTCAGACTGTATAAATCCATTTATACTCAAATAGTCAAAATTAACCTGTTTGGCCACGTAAGCTCCAGGCTTGAACATTATGAATTTAAAAAGTAGGAATCAGCTTACAATCTAAAGACCTGGACATTTATCTAATATTCATCATCAGCCATATGTGATTGAGAAACTGTGAGGAAAAAAATGTGAAAAGTAAAATATACACATAACTTTTTAAAAAATTATAAAAATAAGAAACTACTTACTTCTACAATGTCGTCATCAAACAACAACCAAAAATCATGACTCTTAACTATTGCAATATAATGGCCTCGATTGGGACCACTAAAACAAATGAAAAAAAGAAAGAAAAGTTAATTTGGTATGAATTAACTTCACTGATATTACTTTCATAACCTAAATTTCAGGTTCTATAGAGAAACTAGAAAAGATATCTATTATCTGTTCTTTCTAAAACAAACTTAAACCTACACTGGTTTTAAATGCCATCCAATTTTAAAATCAAACCATCAGTATAAATTTTCCAAAACCAAGGGGAAAAATGATGAGTATCCTATTTTTAAAAATTATTAAAGGGAACTGTGGGCAGTCATTGAAAACTGTGTGTTCCAAATCCAAGTTTTCATTACATGATCCTCTTTAGTCTAGAATTTTTGAGTTATAAATTTAAAAAAACAAAAAACAAAAACAACCCAAAACTTCTCTCCTCCTACTTCATGCAGAGAATACATGTATACCATGTTGTGTTGGAAAGGTGCGTGAGTAAAAAGACTGCACACTAAATTAGCCAGTGATAATTACTCACACTGGTAAATCAGAAAAGTGAACAAGATTATTTCCAAAGTTATTTTAAATGTTTTTCATAACCATTAACAAAATGAACACCATATCAATTCACCTGAGAAATTATTTATTTTGTAAAATCTATTTAGGCAGCATCATTTTACCAAGAACCACTACTACACACATGCACAGGTGCGCACGCACACACCCCCCGCACACACGTGCCCGCTCGCGCACACACACACACAACCCCAAAACTGACAGACTTTAAGTTAAGACATAGTGCCCTTAAAGTAATAATATAAAGGCAATAGTTTAATATAACAAAGTTTTAAGGAAAAATGTAAAACTCCATTTTAAAGTAAGTAAACTTGTCTTATAAAGAATAAAGAACGTCTAAAAGCTCTCCATTAGAATCATCCACGAACATCCTGAATGTGTCTGCTCTATTCACTATATGGCTTCAGAACTGCAATTACCTTCCACAGTGAACCACAACAGCAACAAGGTCGTACATTCTGTCAGGATTGGTTGCATCACCTGAAGTGTTAAACAGACGGAGTTCTAAAGGAAAAACTACCCGATAAGAAAGTTTTGTGTATCGATGAAGTTGATCCATATATTTAAATCTCTTCAGGTGTAGAGCTAGAATCATAGGCAGTTTTTTAACTTTCATCCTATTTTTAAAATAAAGATGAAAAATACAGTTTCACAAGAGACATCCACCATGATCATATCAAACTTTATGATTTCGACTTTACAGATAATAGTCCAGCACTACACAGTTTTACATATTTCTACCAATTATTTTTATATTGGAAAACCGCATTGTCACCATCACCAATTCATGTAACAATTTGGTACAACATTCAATATGGCTCGGAAACAGGGAATAACACCAGTCCTTCATTGAGAAATCTGTTTTTCAAACACAGACCCCATATAAAAAGACTGAATAAATGAAAATAATGCCTAGGAGCAGTGGTAGAAAAACATGTTCCTTGAAGCTGCCAATTACAATGGACTGAGTGTAGATTGAAACCCATTTGTTCTATCAATCTAGTTAAAGCAAGAACAGACTGACAATAGGAGAATGAAACAAGAGAAGTATTAAAGATCACTGAACTAGGGGTGTATGCCAGAGTTAAGAAATAGCTCCATATCAAGAATGATAATGACATACATCCTAGAAAGGGAATAAAATAACCTGGAAATTTAGGACTTTAGTTTTTTAAATGTAAAACCAGGCTTACCTTTACATTTTCATGATCTTTGCTATGAGCACGAATGCTATTTCTCCCCTGAGACTATCTTGGCATGTCATCTACAACAGTCTATTCTAGATTCTAAGGCCAGCTCTAGAGTTAAGCTCTCTAGCACAAATGATTGTACTCCTCACTACTCTATCAACTCTTTATAAATGTCAAGATTACATGGTAAAAAAACTTATGGTTCATTCTCTTTTTCTAAGATCCGAACTCCTGGCATACAGAAACCTTTTCTTTCATTTTTATTTCTCTATGACCTAACAACATATCTGATACTTGCCTATTTTTTTTTTCATTTTTTAATTTTAGTTGTAGATAGACACAATACTTTTATTTTATTTATTTATTTTTATGTGGTGCTGCGGATCAAACCCAGCTACAACCCCAGCCCCTATACTTGCCTAATGTTGCAGAACTCAATTTGATATGGGTTCAGTGGAGCAAACTTTTAAATTTCATAATTCAAAATGAAATTATGTCATTGCCTCTAATGAAGGGGAAAATAATTTCATAAAAATACATTAAACCTGCATTCTACAAATCTTAAATATGGTAGGCAATTTATTATTCCAAAAATATTTACTGTTTAATCTTGCCTGTTTTTAAAAAGGACAAAAATCACACCTAGCCATTCCTTGAAAACAATCTAGTAATGTGAATAAATAGCCTTTATGAACTGTCTCAGAAATCTCATTTCTTTAATATAAATTGAATTTCATCTCAAATATAGCACTTATGAGAAAGTCTATTTCTTGAATAATATGAAAAATTCTAACTATTCAGCAACAAGAAATGTTGAAATAAATTACAAAACAAACATCAGAGAATATCATACAACTTCAGTCAATGACCATGAAAGTTTCTAAGGGGGAAAATAGTTTTTAAGTAAAAGAATATAAAGGCATAACATTTACATAAAATAATCTATCAGACTTGTGATTAAAACAATTTAGAATTGCTAAAACAAAATCTTTACAGAATTACTAAGTACCCTTTGAAAATTTCCAATGGAGTATAGATGCAGAAGAATTTTCTTCACATAAAATAAATGTCAGTGTTAATTGATGGCGATCAGTAAAGACCAGGAAGGAGAGAGAATGGACAAAGCCTGATGGTTATGAAAAATATCCTTTGAGAAATTAAAGAAGAGGGCTGGGGATATAGCTCAGTTGGTAGAGTGCTTGCCTTGCTCGTACAGGCCCTGGGTTCAATCCTCAGCACCACGAGAGAGAGAGAGAGAGAGAGAGAGAGAGAGAGAGAGAGAGAGATATTAAAGAATGGGGGCGGGGGAATCCAAAAAGAGAGAGAAAAAAAAATCTAAACGACAACATATAATATGTTTGATCAGACAACACATGAAGGCTATGAATATTATTTGGCAGAGTTCCTCTCAGAGAAGAACTATCAACTCTTACCAAGAAACCAAACACCCAAAGAGATAAACATTAGATTGTCACATTATTATTATATTAATATATTATCACATATTATATAATGATATTAATATATTATCACATATTTAGGGAGTTATATTTTAAAAATGAAGACAGAATAGCTAATAAAATTTCCCTCATACTAAATGGTTCTGGAAGAAAAATGGAAAAGCATTTGGATATATATACATTAGGAATGTGAAATTTATTATCCTGCAGCAGAAGAAAAAAAGAAGTTATTTTTTGTTCAAAACCAATTCTATCAAGACACCAAATAATTGACAGGATTCTTGTTTTCCTTCCATTCAAATTTGAATGGAAAGAAGTTATACATCAGGGCACATTTGATCACTGCCTCTGTTTTTAAGAAGACTGTCTCAGAATGTAATATTTTTTAGAACTATGGGTATAGCTTGGTGGTAAAGCACTTGCCCTAGGTTCATTCCCCAAAACCCAAAGCAAAGCAAAAAAGAAATAATGTAAGAACAACATTTTTTTTCCTTTTTACTATTTATAATTTATAATCTGCAAACTGACTTACAAATCAATTTTCTATTTAAATTGGTTCCTTCTAAAAAGATTATTTACCACCACATAATTATTTAAAATTTCTATGAACAATTTATAAAGTTACCCCTTTTCTTGCTTTTACATCTTTAAAATAATGTGATTCAGTTTGTACTCCAATAGATATTTAATCTTTCCTGATAATATCTAATTATAATTTAAAACTATATTTAAAAAAAAAGAGAAGAATGGAAAAAGATATGCCAGGTAAGCATTAATAATATGCTGGTTATTCTGATATCAGAAATGTAGACTTCAAGACAAGGAATATTACCAGAGACAAAGAAGGACGCTTAAAAAAAAAATGAAGGTCAATTAACTAAAAGGACATAATCTTAAAAATATAATTAATGTCAAAACATCAAAATTTTATAGAAGAAACAGACAAATACATATAATCAGAACTGAAAAGATAAAATCTTCATAGAACTAAATATCTGTTGAAAATAAAAAGCATTTAACAGGCTGCTCTCACTTACAAAAAATCAGTGTACACAGGGAAGACATTAACTCCTAATTATGGATTTAACTGACATTTATGGAACACTATCCCAAATGGTAAAATACATATTCTTCTCAAATACAATTAGGACATTTACCAAGCTAATGGACAATAAAAGCCATCTCAATAAATGTCAGAAGATTGACATCACAGAGTATGTCCTGATAAAAACAAACAAAAATTTAGAATATACTCCAAATATGCAAACAAAGCAATACACATCTAAATAAACCATGGGACAAACAGAAAATCACAAGGGAAATTGGAGTATTTTGAAATGGACAACAATAAAAATACAATTTCCTCTCTATTTTAGGTTATATTCCCCCAAAGCAGATCCAGAGACAAAGGAACATGCCTGTGACTTATTAATTATGCTAGTGCTCCCTGGGGAGGGAAGGAAGGCGAGGAAGAGTTCAATCCCAGGCAAAATCCCAGAGAGGGCAGTTCCACTCAGTTTTACAGGGAACTGCTATGAATTTCACCTCAGATTTCTCCCAAGCACAGCAAGGCAGCTAGGCTTTCACACCCTCTCAACACCTGTCAGTCACCCATCAAGGACTCTGAATGCTGAAAAGAAATTACCAGAATTCCCCCAAATTCCCTTCTCCATCAGCCCCAGGGTGTGAGGCAGTATATTGTGCGGTTCTGATCTTCAAAGAGGCAGGATTAGATAAGGAAGCACTCCAAAGCACTTGAGACCAAATAAGGGGAACTCCTTAAGAAAGGAGCCTATTTGCAAATACATTCTGGAAAAGGCTACCTTATAAAACCTAAATTTCTTTTATTCTATAAGTCTCCTCAGGAGTCTACAATATAAAAGCAAATTTTATTCTATAACAAATTCATTTCATCAGTAATATTTATTTTGTGGTGTTGTAACATTTGCAGAAACCATTTTTCAGTGTTCTCAGGTTGAACCTTTTTGAGTGACACAGTACTTCGAGTGCATACTTTTATTGTGGTTTAAAAAAAGTAACGTAAGGTGTATCATCATAACCATTTAAGTGCACAGTAAGTACCACAGTACTAACTATATGAACATTAGTGGCAGCATATTTCTAGGACTTTTTTATTTTCAAACACTAAACAACTATTCCCTATCCTCTTCCCTAGCCGCTGGCAACCACTACTCTATTTTCTAAGACTTTGACTACTTTTGATACCATATAAGGGAAAATACAGTACTTGTAGTTTTGTGACTGGCTTGTTTCACTTAGCATGTCTTCAAGGTTCATCCATGCTATGGCATATAACACAAGATTTCTTGCTTTTATAAGGCTGAATATTGTCTGCTATATGTATATACCACATTTTCTTTATCCATTCATCTGGGGAGGGACCCTTGGGTTCCTTTCTCCTTTTGGTTATTATGACTAAATGTTACAATGAACATGGGTGTGCAAATATCATTTAAGAGCCTGTTTTCAATTCTTTTAAAACATCAATGATATATTTAAATTGTTGAGGAATCTGTTTTCCATAGCAGCTGTACAGTTTTGCATTCCTACCAACAGTGCACATGAGTTTCAACTTCTCCACATCCTCACCAAAACTTTCTTTTCTTTTTTTTTTTTTTTTTTAAATGGTGGCCATCCTCACAGGTGTGAGGCAGTATATTGTGTGTTTCTGATCTGCATTTTCCTGATGTCTGATGATGTTGAACATCTTTTCATATCCTTGCTGGTCATTTGTGTATCTTCTTTGAAGAAATGCCTATTTGAGTCCTGCATCAATTTTTGAACTGAATTATTATTTTGATTAAGCTGCAGTTATTATTAATATATTCTGGATATTAACAACTTTTCAAATATATAGTTGGCAAATATTTTCTCCCATTCTGTAGGTTCTTTCCACTCTGTTGTTTCCTTTGCTTTGTTGAAGTTTTTAAGTTGAACAAACAATATGGTTTATGTTGGACAATTTTATTTCTGGGAATCTGGAATTTGGTGTGTGCTAGGCAGAGGGTACTCACGGTACTTGCCCCCAATATATCTCTTAGGCAATGAGTCTCTAACGAGATTCCCATGATGTCGCTATGCTAGAGGATAAGTGTTTGTATGACTCCCCTGAGACAATGACTCTTGGAGGCTTGCCTGACTTTCCTTTTCGCTGACTGTGATGTGTGTCCTTTCCTGGTGATAAAACTTGGTTGTGAGCATGATTATTTACTGAGAACTATAAGTCCTTCTAGGAAACCACCAAACATAGGGATGCTCCAAAACATGGCACACATCAAAATTGTACGCTGCTTAGCAGGATATAATGAGAAGAGTAGAGCCTCACTTCTGTTTCTTATGATTGTAAGGTGAATCTAATCATGCAATGATAACATTGGAGCTATTCTATAAAATAATGAACCTATGGGTCTCTCGAGAGTTACAATCATTAAAGTCAAGAAAAGACAAAAACTTTACCAAATTTACTACAGAGACATGAAAACTTAAAAGTAATTTGTGATTCTGGAATAGATCTTGCTTTTATAAGAAATTAATGAACTAGGTTATGATCCTAGAATCAGACCTGCATAACAGTTTAATGTCTATTACTTTCCTGATTTGAATGAACATGTAGAAAAACTTCTTTGTTGGTAGGAAAAACCTACTAAAGTATCCAGGGTCATGAACCACAATATCAGTAACCTAGTTTTAAATGGTGTATTTAGGGTGAGGGGGGCAAAAAGCATTCCTAGTATTATTCATACAGCTTTTCTCTAAGTTTGAGAATGCTCCAAAATAAAAAGCAAGGTAACAATGATAGTAATGGTTACATTCCTTGACACCAAAACCAGCCTTTATGATACACTAGAAGAACATACAATATCCTACCACAGAACAGCAGAAACTTGGATGGAGTGCAAGATACACTTTCTCCAGAGGGAGACAAAAGTCTACAAATAATCAAAAAAGTTTCAAACATTTTATGTGTACTAGTTTTTGATTTTTCATGCAATCATTAACTATACAAAATCACCTGAGGTTACAGAGTTTATAACCAAAGCAATGACTGGGTAGAATATCATTTATCTAATAATACACAAGGAGCCTTAACTGTTGTGACAACATTAAAAATTTTACTCAATGTAAAATTTCAAAGATCACTTTCATCTAGAAAAGCCCATCTCCAACACCCATGGCCAAAGAATCACTAAAACATCCAAGACACCAACTTACCGTTTATGTGCTTCCTGCTTGCTGCGACACTCTTCACAGTAATATTTGTATTCACTGCACAGAGTTTCTGTGTTGCTAAAGCCCCTGTATAAAATTCAAAATAAATTTATTTTGTGAATCCCAGAAAAATCATAAATTTGTTTAAAAATATTTTAAACAAAAATCAATAAATTTCTACCTTAAACAATGAGTAATTGATGTGTTTTGTTCCACGTCAACAGAAAGGTCTAAAAAATCTTCATCTTTGCTGCTTATCTGTAAAAATAGGCAATTATCTTTGATTTCTTCAAATATTAGGAAATCCCAGGTTCCCAGTTGACAGAATTAAAGCATCCTATTAATCACATGAAATTATTCTTTTTCCTTAAGTTCAAAAGCAAACTACTTGATTTGGATTATCCAAAAGGACAATGAATATATAACCCTTGTCACCTGTATAGATAAAAACACCAAAGTAAACATGTGACTGATTCTCTTAGTACCAAAGGATAATATGCTGGAAAATTTCATTACTTTCCAAAATCCTAGTATTATTTCAAAGCACGGAACAAATTATACTACATATAATCTTTCTTTAAAAACAGGCTGAGACTGAATCAGAATGCTTGACAAAGGACATGTTAACTGCAGTGCTTTTTTGAGAAAATAAATTTAGTCCAAAAGGTCAAATTACAATCTTCATTTATAATCTACCAAAACTCTAATACAAGTTTTGTTTTATGAGTGAAGCATCTTATAAAGTTACTCTTACCTATTTAAATGAAAACAGGACAGAACTTGAGATAAATTTCACTGTCTTTTCCCTTAAGTCTAATCCCCAAGTGAGCATATCAGAGACATGCCTGAGACATGAGCCTTAACTGCTGCCTCTCATCCATACTGACTATACATTCAGTTGATTAAAGGTTTTCTTGTTTTAAAAAAGCATCAATGTAGGCTGGGGTTACAGCTCAGTGGTAGAGCGGCTGCCTTGCACATGTGAGGCACTGGGTTAGATCCTCAGCATCATATAAATATAAACAAGTGAAGTAAAGATATTGTGTCTATCTTTTAAAAATCTTTTTTTAAAAAGCATCCAATGTTACAAGCTCAGTATCATGAAGTTGTGATTAAAGGGCTGTACACATGATATAGTTAGACAGCAGTAAACAGGGTACTGTGTATACTGTATTAATACATAGTTAAAGGGAATTTCAAGAGTGGTTTTTATTCTACTTAATTTCTACATTAAGCTCATCTTGAAACCTAAACTCTCACATAAAATACTATTCCACTATACAACACAAAGTAGAATAATACTGTAATTGATTTGAATCTCAAAAAGAAAAAAAAAATCAGTGAAAAAGAAAGGGGAAGAAAGAATTCAAAAACAGTAAGGGAACATGATATATTTAAGGAAAAATAATTAGCCCAAATTAATAGGAAACTCAAAGGTGACAAGGGATAATACAGCAGAGGAGGCTAAAGCCAGCTGAGACAGAGATTTATGTCTAGGCTAAAAAGAAATAAATATTAAAAAGCCTGGATTTAAGAAATTTGTTTCTCAGAATGAGGTTCTCAGATATTGCCTCAGGGGTCTGAATTTTAAATGTTCACTTTTAGGATAACATAAAAACTGACAAGTTTTTTTTATGTTTTAGGATAACATAAAAACTGACAAACTGCTCTGGATCATCTAGGAATATCTGAGTTCTATGTTTGTGGCTATGATTATGTTGATTCCAGCTAGTCATCAAGCAAAGCAGTATTTCACTTTTACAAGTGGTTGTAGAGAGAAACCTGATAGCTGCTCGGCTAATATAATGTATCTTAATGTCATATCCAGTTATTAGGAGATACCAGCCCAAAACTCAGGGAACACACGGTGATCTCCATCTGAGACTGAGCTTGGGATTTATTAGCACATATGGTAATTAAAAATAAACAGTCCAATGCAACATTAAAAGCAACCCACAATGAAACCCTCAGCAACACCTAAAGAAAAAATGGAAAAAGAAAAGCCAAGAATTGAGACTGAGAAGGAACCTTCATAGAACAAAGAATACAAGATAGAGTTACAGAAGACAGTCTGCTCCCCACTGAAACATTAACTGCCACATTAGTAAAATACATGTACTAGCTCCTCCAGAAAGCCATCTCTCACCTTCCAAACACTTTCTATTCCCATAGTACATTTGGTCTACCATTTTCTGACTTACAGGGCATCTTGCGCTTACTTTTACCATAACACTGTGCAGGAACTATTTATTATTGGCCGGTCTTCAGTATATTACAAGCATCTTGATATCAGAGATTTAATGTCTTAATCATCTTCTTATTCACTACTTATAGTCTACCTGGCATAGTTAGATCTTAAATATTTGTTCAATACTGAACAAAGAAATGATAGTCACTCTTCAGGGGTCCTGGATTCTATCCCTCTATTTTAGTTTGACAGAGACATGGCACTATGATCAATTACTGAATCTGTACAATGATGAATTTTAATTCTGAGGAAATATTCTCAATTGATGCTTAATTCTTGTAAAATGATCTGCAAATATATACTGCAGGCTACAGAAGGACTTAGTGAAGAATGGACAAAAAGATCAGTATCTATGCCTTACAAGTCACATTAGTAGTTAAGCTCTTTGAACGAGAAGGGTTGGTATAACTTTCTCCTTCAAAAATGTTGCATCTCTAACCCCTCCCATTCCTACACTACAAAACATACTTTTAAGGGCATTGGCAGTGTCCCAAAGGCATACAGAGGGCCCCAAATATACCTTGCTAGCCTTGTCCATTACTGCATGTCTTAACATGCTAAGCAAATTCAACTATTTTGCTTCTCTGAACAATACTGTATGATACATATTCTGACATCTTCTAACACAAATCAAATTACATTAAAATAAACATCAAGATACTTCCAAATTTCCTGATTACACCTATTATTCCAATAAAATACTATCCTAATGGCTGACACTATGCTTCTCAAAGCTTGAAATTCAGTTATAGGAACATTTCTCCTTACAAAACACATCTAAAAACTCCTGCTAAAGTAAGTAGAGTCCATGCAGATGAGTATTTAGCCAAATAATTCCCGACAGCGAACACTATCCAGCTGTCATTACCGCAATTAACTGATGCCTGCAGCATAAAAACCAGCTTATACCAGAGATCCTTACTCTAACCCAAAACATCTTCAGAGACTACTATTAATGCATTCAAACACTCAGGCACACCTCCTACACTTGGCTTGAATGAGGTTGACCACTACGACTTTGTTTAGGAAAGGGAATTTTATTTGTTAGTATTGTGTCCTTCATTAATTAAAATTACATTATAGACAATAATCATTAATTAGATAATGCTTTATTTAAAGAGTCTGATCTGTCATTCCACAGTTGAGAAACTGGATGACAAGTTTAAGAACAAAATGAGATGCTGTGTTATCTGATCTGATCAATCTTTAAGCTTCATCTTTACAAAGTATCCAACAAAAGGGATACTTCCTCTCCTTAAGTGTACAAAATATGCTTCAATTTTTCTCCCAATAATACAGTATACATAATTACAGGAAAAGGAAAAACAACTTAACATACAGCCATATGCCACATAACATCTTGATCAACAACTGGCTATACACAGAATGGTGGTCCCATCAGATTATAACAGAACTGAAAATTTTCTATTGCCTAATGATGTCATAGCCATCTTACTGTGATACAACACATTATTCATGTATTTGTGATGATGCTAGTTGTCAACAAACCTATTGTGATGTCAGCTGTTTTAGAAACAGTACAGAACACTTGATGGTAGTTTTGTTACTATTTTATGTATTTACTATAGTTGTAATCACTATGCAGAGTATTTTCTTTCGACAGGAAAAGGTTATTGTAAAAAGTATGTTTTGTGGGCTGGGGTTGTGGCTCAGTGGTAGAGCGCTCACCTAGCATGTGTGAGGCCCTGGGTTCAATCCTCAGCACCACATAAAAATAAATAAGTAAATAAAGGTATTGTGTCCAACTACAACTAAAAAATAACATTTTTTTAAAAAGCATGCTTTATTACACTGGCAGCAGCCTCATACACCATGTGTTTACCATATCTCTTGAGGTCATGTCAAATAATTGACTGATGGTATCTAGTTTGTGTAAGTACCCTCTAGGATGTTCTACAATGACAAAGTCACCTAATGCCACTATTATGGTTTGGATATGAGGTGTCTCCCAATAAGCTCATGTGATAGACAATGTAGGAATGCTCAGACAAGAAACGATTAGATTATGAGTGGTAACCTAATCACTAGAGATGCTTACTCTAACCCAAAACATCTTCACAGACTACTATTAATTATTCAAATACTGAGGCACACCTGCCCATTCGATGGGTAACAATTTGAATGGATTACTGGGTGGTAACTGTACGCAGGTGGGACATGGCTGGAAGAAATAGGTTACTGGGGACATGTCCTTACGGATCATATTTTGTCTCCTCCCTCTCCTCCTCTCTCTCTCTCTCTCTCTCTCTGTTTTCCAGCTGTCATGAGCTGAGTTCCTTTCCTTTTACACCCTTCTACCATGATGTTCTGCCTCACCTCAGACCTAGAGCAATGGAGTTGGCCAGTCATGGACTGAACCTCTGAAATCATGGACCCAAAATAAAATTTCTACTCCTCCAAGTTTTCTTGTCAAGCATGTTGGTCATAGTAACACAAAGCTGATTAACACAGTGCTTTTCTCAGAATGTATATCATTAAGAGATGGATAACTCTACCCGCCCTGAACTATTAGGTTTCCAATGGCTTTCAAATTAAGAAAATTTCCACAACATGGTTCTTCTGACCTCCTAAACTGAAACAAAATCAAACACTTCAGACTGCAAGTATTCTCCTATCATCTCAGGTATTCACTGTTAATAGCAGCATTACATAAAAGCAGATTCCCGTACAATTAAAAGTACATCTTTAACATTACATTATACCTGAGAATTTTAGCTTTTAAGTTTATCTTCTATACTCTCATCCTCAAAGAACTTTTAACATAAAGAATTAAAATTTTTTTCCATAAAAAATTAATGATATACTTACAGTTTCACAAGTAAGACATCTGGTTTCATTAGTTAATGTTCCCTGAAAAATCTCATGTACCCACGTTGGGTCTGGTGTGCTGTTATTATTTTCACTATCAATATTACCATTAGGTAAACGACCATTTTGTTTTTCCTGCTTTCTCTCTTCTTGTAAAATATCAGCAATTGTATTTAGTAGGTAATTTAAGAATTCATGGGCATCTTGCTGCATGTAGTTGTCAAAAAGCTCTAAAAATATAAATGGAATTAGAGAATTATTTCAGAATTAATACCTTCATAACAAATTTTAAAACAGTAATTTTATCAGAACTAAAAGGACAAATGTGTAATATTATTTGTAATGTACAAGAAAACAAAACTTTTGCATCTAAAAATTATGACTGGATTAGAGGAAAATAAAGATGAAAATCATTTTTAAAAAAATACTGATCCATGAGAAAAGGATAAAACCTATTCTCACACATTTGCACGGTAGATAATGGAAAGATAAGAATCAATTATTCTATAAGGTAAGCTTTAAACTAGAAGCTAGACAACCATTTGCCAAGAATAAGTCAACTGCTTAAGAGCCACAGTTTATTAAATGTAAATTTACTGAAGCCAGCATGGTAGTGCATGCCTGAAATCCCAGCAACTCAGAAGGCTGAAGCAGGAGATAACAAGTTAGAGGCCAGCCTCAGTAAGTTAGCAAGGCCCTCAGCAACCAAGACTCTGACTCAAAATTAAAACACAAAAATAAAAAGGATTGGGGATGTAGCTTAATGGTAAAGTGCCCATGAGTTCTATCTCCAGTAAAAAATAATTGATTAATTAATTAATTATTTGATTACTGGGCCATATATCCAGAGTTTGATTTAGTAGGTGAGGGGTGAAGCCCAGAACTTGGGAGCTTTTGAAACCTCCTCTGGGTAACACTGCTATGAAGTCAGGTTTTGATGTCATATCAGGAATTATCTATTTAAACCAGATCATCTCTAGAGTGTCCTCCAACTGTGAGATTTTATAATTTCATGAATGTTCCCTGTACTTATAAAAATGAGGACATAAAATGGAAACACTGATAGTGCTAATATCAAGCACTGGGCTTTGACATGACACAACCCTATCATAGAACTCTGTAAGAACTTCAGAGGCAGTATCTCATTTGATCCTCTTAACAACAATATGATATTGTTAGTAACCTTATTTTTCAGTTAGAAATTGAGATCAGAAAGAGTAAAGTTACACTACCAGGAAAGGCAGAGCACAAGATTCATACCAGGCAGCCTGACTCCACCAGGCAACATATGTGTACTAATGCACAGTGTGAACCTAACTTAACTAAACAAGAACACCTATGCATTATTAAATGAATTGCATTGAAACAAAATTACCTATTTAGGAAATTTTTAGATCTTCAATGAACACAGTAAGTTCCAGAATGACTAAAATTATACTGTTTAAATGAATGCACATATAATTTAGACGGAAAATTAGGGAAAGTCAAAGCAAAGAGAAGTAAAAATTACATTTTAAAAGAGCTACAGATATGACTGCACAAAATTAAGTTCTATGCATTAGAAATCATTTTAGAAATTAAAAAAAATGAAACCTGAAAACTATGAAAATCTTCCATAATGCAATAGAAAACAATTTCTCATACCAAAGAAAACTAAAAAGGACTTGAAATCAATGATTTGTACAAGATTCAAAAGGTCAGGAAACATGAGAAAATGTTCAACTTTTGCCTATCCTGCCTGTAAAATAAGGATATCATCTTCCTTTGCAAAATTACCGTATAAATGAGAACAAGTAAAAAGTTATTAATTGGAGAGGTATATTTAAAATAAGTAAATAATAATTTTAATCTTGATATCAAAAAGACCTTTAAAAATACCAATTTAAGGTGCAGATGCTAGGACAACACTATTTGAAGTGGTACTGTAGTTCTTGCAGTTCTATCTCTAAATATATCTACATCGTAGGTAATTTACTGAACCTCCCTAAGCCACAGTTTCTCATCCAAACACTGGGGCTAATAATAGTACCTACCTCACATGGCTGTTATGACGATTAAAAGTGCTTAGAACACAACACTGTAAGTATTCAAAGGTCATGAGCAATTGCTATTATTATTGCTGATGATACTGAACAGATCTAAAACACAGAAAGACCAGCTACATAAAAATTAAGTGCTTCTGCATGGCAAAGACAACATAAATGAAGACAAGCGAAAACTAGGAAAAAGATAGGCAATTCAGAATAGAAATACAAATGCCCAAATAATATATGACAAGTAATTGAGAGATAAAAATTAAAACAAATCATTTTCCCCATCACTTTGACAAAATAAAAAGCAACTTACTAAAATGACTTACTGTTCAAAGCTGGCTTGAATGAGGAGAAATGAGCATTCTCACCTATTACTACTGGGGCTGTCACTTAGTATAGCATATTTTAAAGGGCAGTTTCAATTAATGCTTTTAACAGAATGCAACCTAGTTCTCCTAGATAGTAGTGCCAAGTAAATATCTGTGCATGTACCAACATATTTTAAATGTTAACAACAGAATGGTTTTAATTATGGTATAATTTGGTTAGGAAATACTGAGAAATGGTTAAAAAGAAAGTAGTTCCATAGCTGGGCACAGTAACACAAGCCTACAATCCTAGCAATTCAGGAGGCTGAGCAGATTGCCAAAATCAAGACCAACCCCAGCACCTTAGCAAGACCCTATCTCAAAAAATAAGAAGTGATGTAGCTCAGTGGGAAAGTGCCCCTGAATTCAATCTTCAGTAACAAAAAGAGGGAGAAAGGGAGGGGAAGGGAGGGAGGGAGGGAGAGAGAAGGAAGGATGGAAGGATGAAAGGGTGGAAGGGTGGGTAGGTTGGTTGGTTCATTCTATATGAATTAATATGGCAAAATTTCTAAGATATTAAGTAAAACAAAGATGCTGAAAATGTGTAAGAGACCTCCCCATTTATGCAAAATAACCAACCAAAAGACTTCACAAAATTTAACTATCACTATTTGGAGACAACATATATATATTCACACACATTTTTTAAAGTGCATTAAAAAAGGGTTGTTTAAGATCAAATTTTCTTTTTTCCTTTTTTTTAGGGGGCGGGGGGGCGGGGTTCTTCACACATGTTAGGCAAACACTCTTCCACTGAGCTACATCCCCAGACCAGGACCAAGTTATTTCTAAGGAAGAGGAAACTTAGGAGTTGGGAGAGAGGGGTAGAGCATCCACAGGAACTTCTATTTTGCTGTACAGAGATTTTACTAAAAGAATGTATGCATCTATTATTTGCATATGCACCAATAAACAAGGGCTTTTTGTACAAAATGTCCACTTTCCTGCTCAACATCACTGCCTGTTGCACATTCTTCATATCCAGTTACTTCCTAAGCCCTCTCAATTTTTAAAAATCATTCCTACATCTGTCTAGTCTGCACCATTTCTTTTATGATCTATCTGGTTCAAGTCAGGTCCCCTTATTCAATTTCACTGTGAAAGAATAAAAGTGTGATTCATGGATCCTACCAAAGATTTTTCCCTAACAAACATCTCTTACATTGCATGGTAAAATCCACATAAACTTTTCTTGTTTATTATTTCATTACATTTACATACCCAAAATTCATGCCGCAAATTCTGCTCTCAAATCAAACACCCTAATAATACAATTGGAGCCACACTTAATTTCCCTGCTATAAGCTTAGCATGAAGGATTCCATTAGCCTTAAACAAATTCCCTATGTTACCTTTAACCTATGAATTCAGCCCATGTGGACTTAATATTTATTTGATCTTGAATCTGGTATACTATGTGTCCACTGGTTTTTGCCCATGATAGATAGTAAATCCAAAGCTCTGTGCCACCATTCTCCAATCCCAGCTCACAGCAAAAGCCACTGTAGCTACCACTGCCAACACTGTGAGGCAGGTTGTTAGCTCTGCAAACCTTCTTGGTGGTCCATTCTACCTGTTTGAAGCCAATCTGTCAGGCTTAGAATCTTCAGATGGTTCCACCATGAAAAGGTCTAGACCAAAGTTCAGAAAATAGAAGACAATCAACTTTAACCTTGTTTCTCAATGCAATAAGTCTCCCTTCCTGAAAATAATAAATCCTTCAATCCTCAATCTCAATCTCCTATCCACTACTATACTAATTTACTTATTACACCCTATTTTCTTCCTCATCCTTGGGATTTTCTTCATTCTCAACACTTTCTGCTGCTTCTAGGAACCACATTCTAAACAAATTCTCTTGAACCTTTCTGGGTCTCTGCTACTATTTCAAAATTGTTCCACTTCTGCCATCAATGAACAGCATACAAGATCTGGCCATATTGTCACCCTTGATCCTCTTTTCTTTGAGGCCATCTGCCTGCCAACCCACCCACCATCTACCAAGGGCCTAATTTCCAGTAATCCTGACGCCCTAAACTTAAGGCAGCTTCCTTAAGTACACCTTCATCTTTCCATCATAAAGATCAACATATAACCATGCTAGAGTTGATAAAGGATTTAAGAAAAGTGAAAATAAACTGAAAGTCATGGAAGAATCCAGAGATAATGAGGGAGGACTAGTAAAAGACTTTATGAAAGCACTCCTGGGGCCCCTAGTTTGAATTGGTGATGATTAATTCACTACACTGGATAATAATATCCTAGCTCAATGTCATAATCTAAAACAGCCTAATTTTTCTGTTAAAAAAATCATTGTGGCATACATATGTGTTTTTTAAAAATAAATGCCTTTTTTGGGGAGAGGGTATAGTAAAAGGTACAGATGTTTCTTGTTCTGGGGTTTTACCCTGGTATGTGTGTGAGGGGGTGTTTAGGAGGGTGTTCCTTTGCTATGGAACAATGACTTCATATCCACAGAAATACCTCAGCTGACTTGAAATCTCTGGAAATGAGATGCAAAGTAAATCAGAAAATTTTCTTTAAACTTCTGTTGAGGTGATTCTAAGTAATTTACAGTCCTTTTATGTAAACATAGTCAATATAATAGAATATTGCAATGCCTGAAAGCAGACATGATAGCTTTACAAGTACTAGGACAACATAAAAATCAAAATATCAATATGATGACTTTGTAACAATCCCTGTCAATGGTATTATGTTTAATTTTTTCTTATGGTTGGCTCTCTACTCTAAAGAGCATAATGGGAAAGATGGACTTTAAAATTGCTTTGGTAAATTAAACCAATTCACTCATTCATTCCCTCATTCAACAAGTATTTAGTAAGCACCTACTATGTGCCAGGAACTGGATTATATGCTGAGAAAACAATGGTGAACAAAAACAAATGGGTTCCCTTCGTCATGGAACTGACAGTCTATTAGGAGAGACAGACAATTTCATTATTAAATAAATGTATAATTATAAACCATTATAATCCTGATACAGCTCCAACATTAATGCAAAAGAATAAATTAAGTCACTGCCTAAAAATAGATTTTTTTCATAATTCTGAAATAACTATAGCTTTTATTACACAATACTCTATAAATCATAAAAAAATTTGGGGGGGGTAAAGAACTTATTGAAATACATATAAGAAATTATTTACTCAAATCTATTTTATAGGTGTTATTTATAAATGACTAATATTTCCTCATTTGAGGAAGACCAAGATATATGTGTGTGTTTTCAAGTGTGATGTAACCCATATGATCTATACCTCTCCTACAGAGATACAGCTCCAAAACATACATGTGCAGATTCCTTAAGAACTAGAATCATTTTTATCTCATGCACTGGTATATAGCTAGCACTTACAATAGTACTTGCCATGTATTAAGATGTGCTTGACAATTTTTGAATGAACAAATGAATGAACAATAGGAGTTGACAGTTAAAGATGATATGAGACAAGCATATTTGACCCAAAACAACAATTTGAACTACATGTATTGCCAAAAATTAGTGTGTAGGGGCACACAGCTATAAATTCCAATTGATATGATTCTGAAGCCCACTTTAAATAATTCTAAATTAAATGTCCAGCTGGCAATCAACTCTAGCTAACACAATCCTACTCCATTCACACCATGCTAACTGTCAAGCTATCCTTTACTATACTTTCTGTTCTTTCTACAGATAACATTTTTATTTTTTATTTTAGATCTTCAAATGGCTTTTTTCTTACTTCAAATCCCAATGTCACCTATAAGAGGTGACAACTTTCACAACCACCCACTTCTATATAGACCACTCCCTCCTTCTCCACACCCTTTCCCTGCTTTATTTTTCTTTCTAACAATGACACACTATATAACATCACTGTTGATTTCCTCCACACTAGATTGTCAGTTCCCTGATGGCTTATTTCTATATCTGCAATGCAGAGACAGTGCCCAGCTATACTACTCCTCAATATTTATCCTAAAGAGTTAAAGTCAGCATATTATAGCAATACATGCATACCCAAGTTTATAGCAGCACAATTCACAATAGCCAGGGTATAGAACCAGCTACGTGTCTGTCAACAGATGAATAAAGAAATGTAGCATGCATACACAACGAAGTTTTATTCAGCCATAAAGAAGACAAAATAAGTCAGATTCTGAAAGTTGAGGGTTGTATGTTTTTTCTCATATGTGAAAGCTAGAGGGAGGATAAAGAGAAAAAAGAGGGCAGGGGAAGGAATCTCATGAAAATAGAAGGGAGGATCAGTAGAGTAGAGGAAGGGGACAGGGCAAGAGAGCAGGGAAGGAAAAGGGGAGATCCTGGGGAATAAAACTGGACCAAATTAAGTTTTGTGCATACAAGAATATTCCACAATGAATCTCCCTATTATAAGGCACCAATAAAAAATTTAAGAACTAATAAATACTATAAAAACATTTTGAGGGGCTGAGATTGTGGCTCAGCAGTAGAGTGCTCATCTAGCACATGTGAGGCCTTGGGTTCGATCCTCAGCACCACATAAGAAAAATAAATAAAATAAAGGTATTGTGTCCAACTACTTCTAAAAAATATAAATATTAAAAAAAAATTTTTGAAAAGAAAATATAAAATTGTAAGTATATAACTGCATAGAATTCAAAACACAGTAACTTGAGGGGATGAATATAAAGTCAGTTACAGAATACTTGCCTAGCATTGGCAAGATTCTGGTTTCTATATCCAGCACAGGGCCCAGGGACACACACATACGACACAGTAACTTGAACTCTGTATTTAGCATGAGTAAGTCTAACTTAAAAAAAAGGAGGGGAAAAAAAAAAACTATACATTTAAAAAGCATATCCAGTAGATTAATAAGTATGGGCTAGAAAAATGTTCTATTAAATGAAAAGGAAAATAACATGTATTCTGTTTAAGTTACAAACTTCTGATATTGAACATTTCTAAATTACTAAGAGTCACCAAGAAGAGATGTCAAGTTCAACTTATATGCACAATAATTTTCAGGATAAATTCTTTAAAGTTCATATCTCATACAAATATAGACCAAAAAAAAAACTAGGACTGGAATTGCTCAATCACATTCCAAAAGGTTGCTTTTGGTTTTCTTGAAAACAAGATACTACTATAGATCTATAATCTAAGAAAGTAAACATATTTTCTCTTCATTACAGAAAAAAAATGTGGTTTCGTGAGCAATAATCAATTGTTATATATTTGCGCAGGGTGTATGTGTAAATGAACAAATCTTTAATACATATCAGAATAAAGCCTATATAATAAGCCTATAATAGTCTATAGATATGTCATATTTCAGGGTCTTGTATTTCATGGCACCAGATATGATTCAGGCTTATCTCAATCCACATGATAATGATCAGAAAAGCTGATTATTTTAAGGGCGAGATTACATATCAATGTATTTAATAATCAATCTTAAACACATCTCATACTTCTGTGGACATTTTTCTACATGATATCAAACAATTCAATCTAATAATATGACTTTATTTCTACATGACTGAAATACCTACATCAAATAAAACCCAGATTTCCAAATTATCTAAATTCCATTTGAATTTTTGAGGCAACATACCAGGAGATAGAATACTAGGCTTATTAGGAATAAGGTGAAAACTAGATATGTTACTTACTAACTCTGTATGACCTGGGACAAATTGATTCACTTCTCTGAGCCTTAGTTAAAAACTCATGTATATAATAAAGCGAATCTCACCATCGTGTATACATATGCAAGACTGAGGTCCTAACTAGAATGTAATGTATTCCATGTTCATATAAGTAAATTAAAATAGATTCTATTGCCATATAAAACTAAAATGAATTTTTAAAAAATACAAATGCTTAATATTTGGAAAAAATGCAAATAAGCAAGATTAAGTAAATAAAAATTGCTACAATCTCAAAATAAAAAACACCTCATGGAAAATAAGGCAATATCTAAGTTAAAGGCTTGTAAAAATCAAAGGTGAAGCTTACTCCGTAAATGTTTTCAAAAGTGAGGAGGGATTAAAACTTAACCAGAAGTTCTCAGTTCTTATTTTCTCTCCTTTCCCTGACTTCTGGCAAGTTTTTGGCTTGTGTACTTTTCCCCCTTGGCTACAGTGGGAAAATAATGTATTAAAATTGCTGAATAGATCATATGAGTTAATGATATGCAAGTACTATGCACACAAAAAATCACAATCCTACTGGAAAAAAACTTCATTCTCGATAGAAAAGCCAAGTAGGCAGAAAAGATTAAAGTATCCTGACATATGAAATTTTATATTTATATAACACACTTTCAAATGCCAAGTACACCTCATATTAATTACTGTGAAATTATTTCTTCCACTAAACTAGTACCTTCTTAAAGACAGGATATCACCTCTGTTTCCTCAATGGCAATATATTGTCAGGCATAAAGATGATGCTCAATAAACACGTGGGTTAAGGTATGCTACATTTAGCCTTCCTGTTATATAAGCAATAACGTACAGAAGTAGAAGAATTACCATTTTCTTTCCGTAATCTTGTTATGAACTTCTTCGGAGGTATTACTCCAACCTTTTTCTTCTGAGTGGCTATGCTATGGAAGAGATCTGCTAAGCAAGTAAGAAGGTTCTCCTTCTTCCTAGGCTGACTCTTGTATGCTAGAACTTTTTCCCGAAATGGACGACAAAAATAAAGTGCTTGAAGAACTGAATTGCAGTAGCAGGTATTCCCAAACTAGAACGAGGAGAAAAAAAAAAAAAGTTAAATTTAGGGCAATGCATTTCAAGAGAAAGAATTTTTCTATGATTAGTTAGAACAAAAGGGGAAGAAAGGGAACTTAAAATCCACATAAAAATATCTGAAAGCATAGAAATAATTATTTGGCAAATTAGCCATTTTAATATTAAATAGATGCTTTAGGCATCGATTTCAGGTTAAAAGTGAAATAAAATATATGCAATAAACTTGGACTCTATGAAAACTGATTTAAAACACTATATAGTTATAAACAAATATTAGTTAGGGCATAGGACTCTAATTTTTCCTTAAATTCCCATTGTTATAATGGCATACTAAACATTTTATATATTATACATTTTAAATAACTCATAAAAATTCTTTAAGAACAACACAAAAAATAAGATTTTTCTATTAAGTTCTGAGGCATAACCAAAATAAATACATTAAGCAAAAACATAAAACAAAAATTAACAAGATCCCTTGAAATGTTGAAAAGTCATGAACTGGCAATCTAACAACCCCTAAAAAGTCAGATTGCATGATTCTTGCTTTATAAGCATCAGTTAAAACCTGAACTATGGATCTATCTAAGGGGAGTATGTCTCTACATCTTACTGAACTTTAATTTCCTCCTCTTTAAAAATGCAGGGAGGGTTAACCCCACCTTATAAAGTAAAGCATAGTCTGATAAGTATTTATTACCTTATTTTTTGTATTAAGAGACATTGGCTCCAAAAATCAGTTAATAGAACACCCAAAAGTCAATTAACAAGGACTTGAGGAACACTTTAAAACTGGAACAAAAATAATTCTCAAATAATTTCTACAGAGTGAGATCACATATAAAGTTAAAAAACTAGATAACAAGATGGGGATATAGCTCGGTGGTAGAGTGCTTGCCTAGTATGTTTATGTACAAAAAGCTTACTAGGTACCTCTATTTAAAAAAAAAAGAAAAAAGAAACCATATCAGAGGAAAAAAAAGAGGAGGGCCCACACAGTAGTGCACACATGTAATCCCAGCAGCTTGGGAGGCCCTAAGCAATTTAGCAAGACCCTGTCTCAAAGGAGGAAGGGAGGAGGGCCACTGACCCAGTGGTTGAATATCCTGGGTTCAGTCCCTAGTACAAAATGGAAGGGGTGGGCCTCTTAAAATTGAAAATAAGCAGTAACAATGTAGAAAAATGAATTCTACTATCATGTAACTAACTAGAACAAATTAAAAAAATAAAAAAGAGAAAACAAGCAGTAATATAAGAAATCAAAAGATATCATCTAAGAATAAAAAGAACCACAAAGAAATCTATTGATACCATTACTTGGAAATTAAAATACATATAGAATAAAGTAAGCAAGAAATTATGTTTATACCCTTAGGAGCCAAACATTCTAATATAAAAGAAAAAAGGATACTGTAATAACAATCAGAGAAGTGAAAGCCCTGTAAATTTAAATTGGAAATATCTATATAAACTCATGCACACATGTGTGAATGTGTATGTAGTGTGCATGTGTGCTTTCAAACTCTATCCAATGGAAGGACAGGCAGGGAAGCAGTGAGCTTCCCCTTCACCCAGACTGTGATCTCTGAATACTTTTTCCTCCTTAAAGGAACCAGGATGCCTTGGAGTATGGCTGGATGGTATCTAAGACAAGAAATACACAATGTACAGGATTAGCCTGGGATCTATTTGTATGAATATAAGAATTAACTTTCACTCAAAAGAAATTACTGAAATGGATCCAGGAATTTAAAATGACATTATAAAGAAAAAAGGAATAAACCCTCATTAGTATCTATTACAGGCTACAAACTATCATATACAATAGAAACATCCAAGTTTTACTTTGCCTTTTTTATAAGAACCACATTTCAGGGGCACTAAATAATTAATGAAAGAAATCTCATTTATAGGATTATTCCAACAAATAAAATGAGAAGAAATGGTTATAAATAATGGAGTAGGCAACAATTATCAACAGATGCTAACTAAAAGTATTAGGTTAAAGGTTGATGGGGATCCTTAAAACAGAGGGATCAACCCCCAATGCATTTTAGCATAAATGGCAGTGAATAAGTAATTTATTGTAACTTGTGAAAAATCTCCTATGAAATACTCTTTACCGTAAAAAAAAAAACAAAAAAACACTAAACTTAAATCAAGTTTCTCTAAATATCTTATAAATTAGTATTATAATTTAGATAATGGAGGAACAAGCTAAACAATACCACAAAGAAGGAATAGGCCAAGTTTTAAAATGTTGGATAGTTCCAGGACAAATGATCAGGTTTCTGCACAAATCAGTTATGACACAGAAAAAGGCTGGGAAGAACTCAAGACACATCACATTCAAATCACAACAGTTACACACAGAATTTACCCAGATCCTGGGACTTGGGGGTTGTAGCTCAATGGTAGAGTGCTTGCCTAGCACATTTGAGGCACTGGGTTCTATCCTTAGCACCACATAAAAATAAATCAATGAAATAAAAGTATTGTGTCTATTTAAAAGAAAAAGAAGGAAGAGGGGGAGAGGGATTCACCCAGGTCCTGACCTGAACAAATCACCTATAAAAAGTTAGCTGGACCCTGTCTCATAATAAAAAAACAAAAGTAAGAAGGGCTGCAGATGTGGCTCAGTGTTAAGCATCCCTGGTACCAAAAAATAAAATAAAATAAAAATAAAAATAATTACCTGTAGACAAGAGAAGACATTTGAACGTGTACACTAGTACTAGATGATCTTGAGATAATCTTGATATGAGAATGAGAGGGTTACAATTTTAAAACATCCCTGTCAGTTGGAAGAGCATAATTTAAAAAAAACTTTATGCCCAAAATGACATAAATGACTAGGATTCTTCTTCTTGGAGGTTTGGGGGAAATAACTGGAAGATAATAAAGAAATTAGCCAAATACTGGTAACCATTAAAGCTAAATTGATGGGTTTATATGGGTATTCACATTACTCACCGCCTTTTGTTTCTAAAAAATGATTTTTAAGTGGTTTGTTTTGTTTTAAAATAAGCAATGTTACATGAATTTGTGTGTCATCCTTCAGCAGGGGCCATGCTAATCTTCTCTATCTCGTTCCAATTTTAGTATATGTGCTGCCGAAGCAAGCGAGCACTAAGTGTTTAATCTTTGAGGTAAACTGTATCATCATGTGTCAAATTCATAGCAAATATAAGATATAACTAGTCTAAATTCAGAGGGAAGATGGAAACTAGGCACAGCCAATAATTCCATGGGAAAAAACCTCAAAAGCCCTGCTATCTCCAATGTCCTCCTGTCTGAACACGTTTTCTTCCACATATATTAAACCAATAGACCTCTCTACCCCAGTAAGAAGTACAGTATCAATAGAAATCTCAAATGAAAGCAGGACTTACTGACGTTTTTGAAAACACTTGGGAGGGCATGACCTCTCCAGATGAGAATGAGACCCAATGAGAATGTGTGACTTCACATTCACACTGCTAGTCAAAACAAAGCACTGGTTTCAGAGAGAGATGCTGTAAAGGGTTTCTAGAGAAAGGCTAAAAGTGTGTGATCCTGACTTACTGATATTGGTGATCAGGTAACTCCGGATATACTTCAATAAAGCTTCCCCAGTGACTAAGCATAGCTACAATAGAATCTATACTCATAGGGCTGGGTTGTGGCTCAGTGGTAGAGCACTGCATGGCATGTGTGAGGCACAGGGTTCGATTCTCAGCACCACATAAATAAATAAAGATCCACTGTCAACTAAAAAAATTTTTTTAAAAAGAATCTATGCTTATAAAAACTAATTTACCATTTTCCATTTTACAGTATAAATTCATCTGAAAATTTTTAGCATTTATATTATAAACCTAAGGAATCTAATGACCAACAAACTTTGGTTCTGTCTTAAAAGAAAAGATAGAATTTCCATAATCTGGGCATCTTTATTAAAGAAAAGGAAATAGGGAAATCTAACATTAACTCCCATAGTAGGTAGATAAAAACAAAAGATATCAACTCAAAGTTATATCAGAACTATTATGATAGTGAAGAATGATCTACCCATAAAATATAAGCAGCAAATGGGGAAAGATAAAAAATTAAAAGGAATCTCTATTTTGTACAGATTGATGAAGTCAGCCTTGCACTACTGTCCACACAACCTGCTCATCTTCTGACTATAAAGCAACAGGTAATATTATAATCAATTCCCTTAAGTCCACTACTGTAGTCTTCTTTTACTTACTTTAATCAATCCCATTAAAGAAAAAGGATGAAACTATTATTTCTCCAGAATTAGATAACTTTCAGTCTTTTTAATAATTTTGAAACTTGTTTAATTGCCTTGCTTTTTAATATTAATTTTCATTCAAGTTCCTGAAACCTAAAAATTTTTCAAATGTATAGCTTTTATGCAAAAGGTATAGAATGATTTTCTTTCTACTCATTTCTAAACAAGACATAGCTTTAGAATTGAAACCTATCCTTTGTTATCTCAGCTGGTTTGAAGAACAAAGATGTAGCTACATTTAAAATCAGAGGAAGTAAATTGTAAAAGCTACCATCTTCTCAAGTTCTAGGCATTTCATTTTTCTTCCTTTTCTTTTCTTTTTTGATCTTTTTAAGGTGGACGGGGGTGCCTGGGATTGAACCCAGAGTCTTGCATATGCTAAGCATATGCTACACCACTAAGCTACATCCCCAGCTTCTGACTACTGATTTTTCAATTGATGAGTGAATACAATCTCATCCTTTCAAATTGCCTTCTCCAAATCTTAAAAATTACACCACCACAAATATTTTTATCATATCTCCACCAGAAAGATTATTTGAGCTCATATCCCTAAAATATGTAATTATTTATAAAATATTTATGTACTACTATACTATGTATGTTTAAATATAAGAGTATAATTAAGATTAAATCGGCTGGGTGTGATGGTACATGCTGTAATCCCAGTGTCAGCAATGGCGAGGAGCTAAGCAACTCAATGAGACCCTGTC